GCTTTTGAAGCATTTATTAAAATTAAAGGCACACATGGTATGCTTAATAATGTTAATGATAATTCACCTATTATTTAACTTAATTCTTGTGAGATATGTGAAAAAAAAACCATGTGTAATAGACAATGTATTATAAGCATAATATTGTTATAACTTTTTCGCTTATGAGCCATTATTTCCGAATATTTTCATCAATGGTTTATGTAGGGCGAACGTTTGTTAATCTAAAAATATCCATTTGAGTCAATTCATTTAATATGATCTATAGAAAATCTAAACAAATTAGTTCATAGTTTTCGAAGGCTTTAAAGAAATCTATAGTGTACTCATAATTAAGCTTTTATGCTGAGCTTATTTATTTCCAATTGTGAAAATATTTTAAATCAGAAAAGACAATATTATTTTTTTTCTTATTAAGGCAATTAAATGGGAAATTGATGACAAGGATACAAGCTCAATGAATTATCTGTAAATTGATCCATATGACGTAATACCATTAGGAGTACATATAACAGATACATGTACATCTTTCGTATATTTAATCCTTAGACGAATACAATACATCAGCTCTAATTTTTTTTTAAAGAAATTTATCTTATGAAAAAATTAAACCCTGGCAGGGTTCTCCATCATTGCTGCAGACTGTACGTGAACCTTATTTGTTACACAAATGGTATGCTCGTGCATATTAATAAAAAATAAATTAATGGATATCTTAAGCAGTTACAATGTATCCATATAAAAATGTGCATACATTGTATTACATGTATAAGACAAATCAACTATAAACCCACCCCCACCCCCCATTGTCAACATTGTCAACGTAAAAAAAGCACGATTCCTTTAATTTAAAAAAAAAATTGTATAATATACTTGTATCACTATCTACAAGTTGTACGAATATATATTAAACCTTGATATTTTTGTGCATGTAACTTCATGTTTTACACATGCTCTGAAGAGCAGAGGAAATTCTGGTCGATGCAGTCGATCTACAGTAAATTTGCCGGATTTTTGTCAGTTGATCGAATTACAGAATTTAAAAAAAAACTTATATAATAGTAAAATACTTTAAGGGGGTGCCTTTAAACTCTTCAACAATACATTTACATCAATGAAATGTTTACGGTACGATGTTTGACTCACAGCGCCAACATGATTCTAGAGACGGGGTTCTGAAGTATAAAGACATATATTTATAATATTTTTTTTTAATTTTGAAATAATATTTTAAAAAGCAACCACATGTAGCAAAGTATACGGTCAATGGAATTGTAAAAACAAATTATTTATCTTTGTTCCTTCATGCGTAAAATCCAGCGAGGGTCTAGGAGAAAATTGATTATGCACGGAGAAGCAAGACAAAGTGCCCTAATTAGGAGATAATTAAGTGCTCTGCCTTAAAAATTGAAACACGGTAGATTTTTTTAAATAAAGTTTTAGTTAGAGAAAATTTACGTTCTGATTTTCTGATTATCACAGATTTTACTGTGTCGCAAAATTTTTATTGTCGTACGCATAAAATTTGAATCGTTACTATGTCGAGGAAAATTTTAAAGTGTCGGGGCCGACATAGTAAAACAGCTCATGGAGAACCCTGCCCTGGTATCTTGTACCTTAGTAGCTTTTGAAAGTTTTGTTTTATTTAAATCTTTTTCTGTATATGCTGTAAGCATGTAAACCTCTCTGCTTTCTTTTATTGTTGATTTGTTGTATGTTGTTTAACGTCCCATTCGAGAATTGTTCACTCATATAGAGACGTCACCGTATGCCGGTAAATAGCTTCAAATTTAGGCCTATATTCGGCACTCAGGGCTATTGAGCAGTGAGGATTCTTTATTGTGCCAACTCCTACCGTGACACGGGACCTGGGCTTTTAAGGTCTCATTCAATAGACCCGTGACTTTCGCTTGGAGAAGAAACAGTCACTTCCTCTGTTATCATCTTAGGTTTGACGCGTTCCGACCAACGAAAATCGAACCCGAGCCTCCCGATCACGAAGCGAGCGCCCTACCACTAGGCTACTGTAACCAGTTTCTTTCTTTAATTAAATTCTTGTGAAATATTTACTACGTTAATGAATAAAATGAGTATGGGAAAATATTTTTTTAAAAATTTTGTTTAGCATTTATGTCACTGAATCAGCCCTTCTACTTCAATACCCTTCGTTATAATCAAAACATATGAAGTTTTGTTCCTGTCGCCATTATTCCAAAGTAGATGACATACTTTAAGTACATCCCCCCCCCCCGTCTTATTTTACGCATTTTTAACAAATTAAGGCTTTTAAAAAAATATTTTAAAAGTCTCGGTTGTTTTCTTTTTATACACTGTATGTGATGCTTAAGATCTACCCATGCTATTATATGCAATGCATGTGCCATTGTTTTAAATATCTAAAGAATATGTTAATTTTATTTTTTCATATTCATATTCTTACAAAATAATTCTGTGTAAATGATGGAGTTCATTAGTACAAGTAATCATACATCAAGGTCAGAAAGCTGTGAATTGATGAAAACAATAGTTTCTTTTTGAATTTGAGAACAAAGGTTGACTCCTGCGTTTTGATTCTAATATTCGAACCATCCGTATAACACACAATCTTTTATTGATGCTGATTTGAAAAAAAAATCGTTTAAACTATTACATTTTTACAATAAAATTATTATTTGTTTATTCATTGATATTTAATTCAATGTGTGTACATCAGATTTATAATTATGTAAATGTATGTACATTTTTTGCTTTAAATTATTTTTAAGACTAAACAGAGGATGCTTTTAATCTTAAACGACATTCTTTATAGACGAAACACAACAGTATTAACATTTAACATATTCATGAATCCCATTATTAAAATCTATATGTATTGCTAACTTTTTTCAAAGTAAGCCTTTTTCTTCAAAATAGACAAATCCTAAAAATAAAAAAATCATGGTTTTATACATGTGAACTTATTATCAAGATTTTATAGGATAGCTCTTCACAGGATATATTGCAGCTACTGAACATATCGTCGCTTTTGTCATAATATACTGAGAAAACTGCATAGTTTCTAGCTGAAGGAAAATTATTATACTTGCATCCAATACAACGACAGAAAAGTGTGCAGGCATTTGCCCAATATATTGTCGTCCTGATCTTCAGAGTTTACATGATGATAATTGTTATAATATTTGAATTTTTTTCATATTTTAGCTATTAATGTAATGCATTGTATAACTCTTATTCTCAGCATTTTTATTCTTGTAAAAAGTATTCAATAATTCAATACTTTCACAAAATTAAAATGAAATTTATTTTAGCTTGTTGTAAGGATAATAACATCAGTTTTCTTGAACACGTTCCTTTTTTAGAAAAAAAAATCTCCATGATGATTTTATAAGTCAGTAAAATACCTACAAGTAATAAGGTTAAATACATGTATATATGCAAGAAAAAGTTCCAAGATATTAAAAGATGCTCACGTTTTCTTCATGTACTACTTCTACTGCTTAATTAAAGGCAGAGATTTTAAGCACTGTCTTCAAAAATATCTGGTCTTTGTACCCCTGTCAATCAAGTGCATTAAGGTACGTTATTGGGTGCTAGAACTTGATTGACATTTACTTCCTAGTCCCTGTGTATACCCTGTACACCTTGTTTGACACTCCTGGTGACCTTCAAATTAACTTTTGATCCTTTGATATTTACCTCACATGGTATAAACAATAGAGAAGCTGTATAACTATTGAATTTCTAGGTTGATAATATATGTATATACACCTTTAGTATTTGAAATGATAATGATATATAAATATATATCAAAATTTGGTATAATTTTTTTTAACCTCAACAAATACTTTGAATAATAATATTTTTACAGGGTGGGGATGTTTTGACACACATATAATTACAAATTTAAAAAATATTGATATTAAACTTTATTTACAACTTTAAATTTCTAATTCAAATCATCTCAAAATCCCAACACTGGTAAGGTTTGACTTCTTGAGTACTCTACTGTGTATTAAATCACTTCCTGTGTATAGGGATTAGAGGACAAACGACCACAGGTAGACTGCTTGCCCTCAAGGCATTCACACCTGTACAAAATAAACTCCTCCCACACCTGGAATTTATAATTACCACCTGGTAAAACATCTCTGCCTTTCAATTACTATAATAGAAAGTCGTATTCTTAATGCAATTCATGCATATTAATGTCTACGTCAATATATTCTCATATTTTTTTTTCTGTTTATTGTACTTTAGTATGTTATGAAGTTAGAAGGATTGTTACAAAATTTTGTTTTTTGTTATATAAAGATGATTATTTAATTACGATTGACGGATATTTACAAATTATTTGCTATACAATATTTGTATATAAATAGTTTTGAATACACATATTTATAGTACACCTCTGTTATAATTTGTAGGATATAACCACGTCATTTAAGGAATGGATTTAATAGCTACCCAATTTATACTAGTATAACCTGGGTTGGGGCAGTTTACGCTTTATAAACCGCGAAGCGGTTAATAAAAAAAAGTGTAAACCGTTCAACCCAGGTTATACATGTACCAGTATAACTTGGGTAGCAATTAAATAAATTCCTTATAATTTAATTTTCCATCATAAAGTGTAAAAATAAGATATTTCTCCTTATGCCCTGTATGTCCTGTACGTATTTTAAAAGTAACGTTTACTATGTTTGTGACGTAAGTCATTGTGATGTAGGCAAACCAGGCTATACGATATATTCTAATGTTTTTTCAATACAAAATTTAATTGTATAAAATGAACAATGGAAATAACTGACTTTATCCTATTTACATGCCATATATTATCGAATGTTAATATGCGTTAAAATCAGTACAAACCCCAACCGGAAATTTCACAAGCATTTATTGAGTGCAGTATTAATTCTAAAGCATGAATTTCTAAAGAAAATCTTTCTATTTGAATTAATTTACTTATATGAAATCTTACAATATACATGTAACACAGTGATTTATATAACAGGAAGTGGTTGCCTTTCGCAAATAAATGAAAACTTCGCTCCACACCCCATGTCATTATACCCGCCGTTGGTAAACATAATAACACAGTCCTCAGTCAATTTGCAACAGGGATGTGGCTCTCCAGGACTCCAATTCAGGTAGAGAGGATTTCCGTCAGAGAGACGCCAATCATCTTCCATTACTGCGTCACTTCCGTCGATAAAAAATCCCGGACCTGTAAAAGTGTTTCATTTTAAATTATTGACAGTTTTTCTGTTGAAAATCATGAAAAAAAATTAAACGAAAATGTTAAAGAAGAATTAAGGTAGTTAACAAAATACGCATGTTCTGAAAATCAGGATTTGCGTAATTGAAAACGCTTACAGAAACATCTCCATATTCTCATAGTTATATATATATATATATTTCCATGGTATCATCATCATAGTTAATAACATTATATAAGGAAAATTATCAAGTCTAAAATATATTTTCAGGAAAAGCGAATAAAAGTATCCGCTATGCATTTTTAATTGAAAATAGATCACCAAATATATTTTAGGATTTAAAAAAAATATTATCTAGGCATATGAAGAAAGTTGTTTGTTATTAATACTAATATGCTACATTACTTCTTCTGTTTAAATATAATACATAGTGTAAAAGCTTGTGCTGTTATTGCTAGACATCACAGATCACTTCTTATTTCTCATCATGTTAATAGATATAATTGGTATCCAAGCTTGATAAATGCAATATCGATTTCTCTAAAAATGAAGTTCTTTTTGTAATTTTATTGGATACAAATGTCAATATTTTACAAGTCCGTTTCGAAGACTTCAATGAACCTTGAATCGTATGTGGATGCAATGAGCATTACTGCAGGAAAAGAATTCAATTTTGAGCTTCATTTTGGGAATTTTTAACTTAATGATTTTAAGAATTTTCTGTTCCTGATTATGGAGCTGACATCCTTCGCAGCAATTTCTCTGTATTGATGGAATTCTTAAATAGAAGCCTTGACACGCATAGTCCTAGAATCTCTCCAATTTCCCTTTGACCAAAGTTTTTGATAATATAAACGTATGTCAGACAAAAATTTGTTTGCTATGGGTCATGGTTATCATGGTAACATAACAAAGAGTTTTTAAAAATGGCATTTTTGAAAACATTCTAAAATTAAACATGTATTTACATTATTTCCCTATTAGAGAAAACTCCTTGTGACATATTTTTAAGGAAGAAATTTCATGTTTTTAATGGTAGGCAATGGTTGCTAAGGTTGTAAATCAAAAATTGATTTCAAATTAACTTTCTGTATGTTTTCTTCTGTTCCTATGTTTTTTTAACAGTGCATATTTATATATGACTGGAAATAATTTTTTTAAGGAAATTCCAAAATTTCCACATCTCATAAAAATGAAAGTATTTTTTTATTGTTTTACTTGTGTTTGTGGTTACGTTTGATCATGATACACCGTTCATTAGTAAATGTTAAGTGTTTTTCAGGATTTGAAGTGTATGCCAAATGTATGAATGGTTTCCACTTACTTAGAGATATATTCTTAATAGTTTCTTAATACCATTAGTGGCAACGAAGTGTAATACTTGAGAGTTGTTATTTATGATGCTGAATAAAAATTAAAGATAGCTTAAAATCTCAGTTTCTCAATCTTTATATTCTGTTTCCATGGTCTGTTACCATGGAAACGAAGGCACATAGCAAATTTTGTTTAATATATGTTTCTGTGACCATGTGTTCCGGAAAAAAGATTGGTTATAAAGAAAAGCTATGAATACTTCTTTATTTTATTTAGAAAATATAATAAGAAAACTTGGTATCTTTTGGTATCGCTGTATGCTCATACGTCTCTATAAACAGGCAAGACTAAGCATAAAATCCTAAGTGAAACTTAACACAATATCTAAGACTTTCTTTATATATATAAGGAAGAGTATAAAAAGTTAAATATCATAAGAGAATTGTCATTATACAATATACATCTATCAATGATCGATATCTTATAATCTTATAATCCAAAAATCAAAAGTGGAATTCCTTAACACAATATTTTTTTTTCCAAGCAAAGTTGGAAATTAAAGAATATGTTAAAAAATATATAAAAACTTTAGTAAGGAAAACGCACTTTATTATTATTATTTTTTTTCGAAATAAATAATATAAAAGGTATGATGTATATGAAATGAAGTGTCATTAATACTTTCTAGCAATGATTCTCATTATTACATGTATACCAAGGGAAGCAGGATTAGAAAACAATAAATCTTACAAACATTTGAATTACTGTAGATATCTATAATATAAAAAGGTAATGGCATGCTTTCAAGTTTCATATTCATAATTTGACTATTTCCCTTAAATTCTATGAGTGAACTTCAATTAGAATATTTAATATTTTTTTGTCTTTACTTTCAATAATCAGTCATACTGAGCTGAAAATGGGGCTTATCTGTAAGCTTAGAAACTAAAAACATCAATTCCGATGGACAAGCTCTTAAAATGTTTCGTATTTTTTGATAGGCTTATATAGAAAGATTATATCAGATTTCGATTGGTGAAAATAAGAAAAAAAATCAAACCAACAACGAAATAGCTCATCCTGTTATATCAAGTTCAAGTTTAAGTGCATAGTTCGCAACAGAAGACATTACTCATGTGGTTGAAGCACTGATGTATATAACAAAATAAACTAAGTGACTTTTTATACCCTGGTTCAAATTCAGTAAAATTTAGTAATTTTTCTTTAATATTCTAAAATTTTTATTATCATGTTTGATATTAACGCCAACGAAATCCATTTGCTAAAGTAACTTGAAAGGGCACAAATCTTTACCAGTAAAACTACATTACAATGATGGGAATAAAAACAGACAGGAAAAACATCTAACTGAAATGATGTGGCCAGGCTTTTCTTGTGAACGACTTATATGTGTTTCTTTATAAAAGTACCACGAACAAAATCTTTCTGTGCAATAACTTTTCAAAAATGTTTGTGTTATGAAAAAGACGATGAAAAAAATGATTAATCTCTTAAATCCTGACAACAATGCTAATCCAAAAGAGTGCACAAAATCTGATCCCTAGAAACATTAGAAGTAAGATTTCTAGGAAGAGTAAACGTCCTCTGTCGACAAGTCACACCCGCCACGGGCCTCTGTATAACGATCAGGTTTTCGGATTAATCCGAATTCATAATATATAAACTATTTATTATTTGTTATGAAACTTGTCACTCCAATAGGAAGTTGTATGTGCAAAAATAATACCCCATACAATTTGTAACAGTTTGCAAAAGGCATTAGACGAATTTGTTGAAATCCCTTAAACATCAACTTATTCGTCAGTAGCCTGCTTCGGTTTAAAAACTGATCGAACTTGGAACATACTCTTGCGTTCCGAATTACATGGGAGACATAGGATAAAAAAAAACCTCTCCATAAAAAAATGGCTCCTCGTTTAACAGCGTAATTATATACTATATTCTATTATATAATAAATGACCTACTTGACATAGATTTTATGAAATCATGTACGATTCCATGCTTTGCTGAAGATGTGAGCTGGATAAGGTGTCCTCCTTCTTTCACACATTCCGCATTAGCATCATGTTGTGATTTCTTTTCGCTAAATACTTTAAAACAGGTCCCACTTATAGTCAAATCTTGGTATTCTATATCAGAACACGTGAGACCTCCTAATAATATACAGAAATACTAATACATTACTTAAGATTTTTTTAGAATAAAAAAAATATATTATGATTGATTTATTTCTATCTATCAAAAATATATATTTATATCTTTCACATTTATTTCAAAATAAATTAATTGTTCTTTTTGAAAATTAGTTCATATTATGCAGGTAAATTACAATATAAAATATCCATAATCTTACAAATGTCTTTCTTAAAATATGTAAACGTTGCTGTTATCCTCTGGTTAAATTATTTTATTACAAATCGTCTGAAAAAAATCCTCAAACACAAATCTTAAATAATTGAGTGAAATACTCACTCCTTGTATAGACTTTTAGATTCGGAGGCAGATTGGGTTCCGAAAAATTCTGAAAAATACCTTTGGAGAGAAGATGGCACTGATTATTTTCAGAATTAAATATGATGGACAGACACTTCTTGCTTTTGACACAGCCTCTGGAACAGTCCAGTTCTGACAATTTTAATATCTGTTCCTCAGTATATAATTCAAAATTACCAACCCTTCCATTAGTGACGCGATATAACTCTACACAAACTAAGGATCCTAAAACAGAGCTTAAGATAAACCCAATGCCTACAATGAAAGGTAAAAGAAATTAAAGATGCGGAAGAAGACAATATGAATATCATTCTGACCTGTACACGTTAGTTTAATACGGTAATTAGATACCCAAATATAAATAAATCTAGATTTTTTTTCCTTTTTTGCCATTCTTTTCTTCAAGTCACATATTTATCTCAAAATAACACTTTCTATTCAACTATTATTTTTATCAGTAATTAAAAAAAATCCACTTACCTATCACTTTTAAAAAATACATGTTCCAGTCAAGAATTGCTATTCCTTGGGACACTTTATCTCTTATTTATCACCCCTAACATTTTAGTGGCCGGAAAAATCAATACTCTCTTTTAAATTTTTCCCCGCAGCAATAACAATTAGAAAACAAATGGACTGTTACTAGATCACCATGAATAAGCAAGAGCATTTTACACAATTGTATCAATGTATAGAGAATTGATCATTTTCAGAATACTTTAATACAGAACAACAAATAGGTTTTGATTATAATGAACTATTTGTCTATTCAATCTGTATATTTAATTTAATTTCAATAAAAACCTAAGCATCACTTTGATAAATAATTGGCAAAAATTATTCGGTCTTTCGGTAGGGTCAGTGTCTGCTTTTCAGGTATCGATGATTTAGTGCTTGGCAAATTGCAGAAAGGCAATGATCTATAGAATGAAACTTTAAAAAAAAAAAAAAAAAAATTGAGCCATGTTGTCCCTTGCAAGACAATAATGATCTCACCTGAAACCTTTACTCTTAACTTATTCTAAATTTAATAATTTTAAACATTACAGGTAAACTATTTTTTCCTGAAGGGTACAAATGGGTAAGCATTTCATTTCATAATAAATAGTACTCAATTCATAAACATTTATAAGGGTAAAATAAGAAAAAAGATATTGTAAATCAATAGAATAACAAATTAAGATGGTGTAGAATAAAATCTCTTTATTCCACTTCAAAAAATTCTATTGGATCGAATTTAACCATCTACAGGTGTATGCATGTACGCTTTCAGCATTCGTATGCTTTTATAAAATTAACATTTGTGTGGATTGAAATTACATACAAAGTGAAAAACCCGAATAAAAAAAATCCAAAAGTCAAACCCATTCAAATTATTTCAATGCTGTACATGTACCCATGCCTTTAGATAAAAGCGAGATAGAATTACCTGACAGCGCAGGATGCATTTCTTAGTTTGCTTTTAACATTTGTTATTTAATTAATCAAAAGAATTGAAAAAAATGTAATTAAATTGATCTTTTCCTTAATTTTTACAATTGTCACACAATAATAACATATTGAAAAGTAAATTTTACAAGTAAACCAAGTGATACACTCTACCATATTAAAGCAACTCCTGATATCCACAGGTTTTATCTAAATCAATTTGAGAAACAAGACAGCATGCATACGGTAGTATTTGATAAACAAAAATAAAATATGTTTTAACACCTAATAATTTAAGATATTCAATACATCTGAGAGTTTCAACTTAGAAATAATTGGGTCTTTTTTAAAGCTAAAACAAAATATTTACCAGTTTCGCAGATTCCAATTAGTGTATCCGTCATTTTATTCACGGCAGTCATTAAAACTTTTTTCTTTAAATTTCAAAAAAAGATATGCTTAAGGAGTAAATAATTTTGTATCATGTGGATACTTAAAAACTCCAAAGAACTTTTGGAAAATTTGAAATCACAAAATTTTACTAAAATCAATAGCATCAAAACGTACGACTTTTCAATACTTTATACAACCATTCCCCACGATAAATTGAAGTCCATGCTTTTTGACATCAGTTTTTTCAATACAAATGGAACTCATAAATATGCTAACATTGTCACTGGTCATTTCCAAAATTATTTTGTTAAAAGCACTCTGATTGTACACACAAGTAGTCTGAAAAGGACATCAAAAAGATGTTTGAGTTTCCGATTGACTATATCTAGTATGTAGTTTTTTGAGATTAGGTCTTCCAACAATCTGTTGGAATTCCCATGGGTACCCGTTATTAGCAGTCCTATTTTTGTATTCATATGAAACAGAATTTATTCAACAACTTCTAAATGAGAAGAAGAAAACACTTGTTGTGGCCTTCAACTCGACATGTCGATATATCGACGACATATTATCAATTAACAATAGTTACATTCATTCATATGTCAACTCGATATATCCTAATGAGCTTGAAATAAAAGATACCACAGATTCTGACATCTTTTTCATATTTATATATTTTACTAGAAAAAGACCTTAATGGTAACCTAACAACAAAGCTCTATGATAAACGTGATGACTTCAACTTTTAAATCCTCAACTTCCCTTACTTCTATATGTAGCAATATACCCTTATCACCTGCATGTTTATGTCTCTCAGTCGATTCGATACGCAAGAGCATGCTCTACATATGAACCATTTCTAAAACGAGGTAAGCTATTGACAAACAAGTTGATGAAACAAGGATATCAACAGTCTCGTTTGAAGTCATCATTTCTCAAGTTTTGAGTCGATACAACGACCCTTGTCAGCACATACAACCTTTCATTGAGTAAAATGTTGTGCTAACTGACGTTTTTCGTACTTATTGTTAGGCCATTATTTATACAACGAACTGTTTACGGATTTTTCCGGGTTTTTCCCCGATCATGACAATTAGCACATGGCGGGTGTCACCGGTCGGCAGGGGTTGCTCACTCCTCCATGGTACCTGATCCCACCTCTAACTTTTCAGGTACGTGCTTGCTTTGCTCCAAATTTGTATCGTGAAGTATGTGGAGAAAACGAACAGTATTCGAGCTCAAAAGTCCATTAAACATTACAAAATAGGAGCAGAGCAAACACGGAACTCTAAGACATCCGAGGTGGGATCAGGTTCCATGGAGGAGTGAGCATCCCCTTCCGACCGGTTACACCCGCCATGTGCTCCTTGTCATGATAATAAATAACGGAAAAATCCGTCGACAATTCAGTGTGTAAATAATGGCCTAACAATTAGTATGAAAAAGTCAGTCAGCATTTGACTTATTGGGCTTTCGAGATTGAATACTTTTCATTATCATCATATTTCATGAACTGTTTAATAGTTTTGCGTAAGAAATTTTACATTTCGTGGTGGACATGAATTCGTGGATCTTTTCATACCTCGAAAACATCGAAAATTAAAACCAAAAATTTGTGATATAGCAGTATAAGATGACAAAATGTATAAAAAGAATTTAAAATTCAAAATAATTCAAAGTATATTGAAATGTTTCTCAGTTGCTGCTAATTACATTACTCTTCGTAAATATATCATGAAACTCCTAAAACTAACTATTCTGATCAAAAAGAAGACTTCTGTGCTTTGTCATAAGTTACTTTGTTATGGAATCCCCATGTAAGGGCCATTGAGTTTGTGAAAAGAGAGACAACTTTCGCTTAGATTAATGACTTTTATTCCTTTACATAATTATTAGGTTTAAACACCATTTTTGTCCAATTAAGAACCGCAAAGTAGGATGGAATTGAGTGCATTTTAATTATGAATTAGATTTCTTTTGAAAAAATCATTAGTGTTTAATTAAGAGCTATTCTCTGTAATGACTTGAACTTTTATATAGGAGCTGTGGCACGCATAGTCTCAGAATTTCTCCAAACTCTCTATGATAAAAGTCTTTGATACCGTAAACTCAAATCAGGCAAAAATTGGTTGCTACGTGTCATGGTTACCATAGCAACATGTCCTAAAGTTTGAAAAATGGCATTTTTCATCATCTTCAGAGTCCCACAGTTAACGTTTGCAGCAAAGCAAACAAGTGGCAATGACTGTTTCTGACAGTTGGAGGCCTGGTGTCTTAAATGCATGATAAACATGTTTGGTAAATCATCTATAACATACGTTACTATGGAAACAAAGTATTCAAAAGTAATAATTTTGTTCATTTAATTTTATAAAGTCGTACACTTAAGAATAAAAACAATTATGGGTTGAAATGCAAGCAAATAATAGAGAAGAGATCCTTGTAACATATACCAAGGACAAAATATGATATTTCTTATAGGTTGGCAATGGTTGCCATGGTTTTAATACCACGAAGGGATTTTAAATTTACACTCTTAGTGTTTTAATCTTATCCTATCTTTTTAAAAAGCATATTTCTATATAACTGATGATCAATTTTTAAAGGCCTTGATGTTACCCTAATTTTCACATTTCAAAAAATTCAATTTCAATTCTTTAAATAGCGCGTTGCTATGGAAATAAGGCAAAAAACATGCATAAAAATCAGAAAAATACTCTGTCTCCTTGGATACGTACCGTTGTATGTAGATTCCCAAAACTTTAATGACTGAGATATGTGAACAACTAACCTGACTTTCAATTTTTACTATCACCCCTATCTCTAACTGGATGCAATAAGCTGGCACATAGGGTCTAATATTGACAAAAAATTAACAAAATCGAACATTTTCTCTTCTTGGTAACCATAGCAACAGTGTTGTATTTTTCAAAAACCTTTATCAATATATGATATTCAACTTTAGTTCTACGAGATAAGTACTATTCAAGGTGATTCAAATAATATTTTTCTTGATTAAAAGGTTAGTAAATTCCTAAAGCAACAAAAAAAATATCACTTTAAACAACTAGTAAGTTGTTTCCATGGTTACACTGCAAAGTAACAATTAATCTCAATTTTTCTTATGTTGTCAGTGTAGCAAGGTCCTAAGGATGCATATGTGCCAGTCATGAATTTTATTGTTTCTCCTCACGATAGTAGCATTAACCCAATCACAGCAACAGATTTTGCATGGTGACACTGTGTTACCATGGCAACCATGAAAATTATTTTTAGAATAATATTGCCAATACCTAAATACATGAGGTCAAATATTTCTCATTGTTTTTCTTACGTTGTTGATTGAGTTTGATCATGTAACATCTATCATTTGTGACTATAGAGCGTTTTTCAGCATTTTTCAGCATCTAAAATGTATTCCAAATGTACCCATGGTTACCACTTACTTAGAGATAAATTCTACATATTTTCTTTATAGCATAAGTGGCAACAAGGTGTCATGTTTTTGGGAGAATGGTTTGTTTGTTTTTCTAAGTCTTTATTAAGGCTTAATAAAGATTTAAAGTAGCTGAAAATGTCAATTTTTTCAACTTTTCTGGCTGTTACCATGGCAACCAAGACACATAGCAACGAAATTTTATTTGATATATGTTTCTGGTGTCAAGTTGTAATAATGGGCAAAGTTTCATCAAAATCGGTGACCATGCGTGGCAAAGAAATTTAAGTGGTTACAGAGAATCGTTATTAACTTTTTTTTCTTGCGTGTGAACATTTTAAAAAACTATATTATACTATTTAATAAATTTAGAAATCAGTGAAACATAAGAACAAAGAAATGTGCTGCTTCTAAACTTCTATTTATGCATAAATCCATTGTCAAAAATGAAGTTCAATTACTTTTTGCATGTCGATCAGTATTATACAAGCACACTTAATCAATGCATCACATCTAGCGTATTTAATTTCAAATCTGCAAAATTGATATGTTTAATGGAAGGTAACACAAAAGCGAAAAATGAATTTTACGATTACGTCAATGATTGTCAGTTAGTAACAATAAATGTCAAAATCATACTGTAAATTACTTTTCATTCTGTAAAAATCACGCCAGAAGATCTGCCTACCAAAATTTCATTCTTGAGGCCAAAATAAAAAATACCTTTGTTTCCCCTAACGCGACGGACCCAATTGAAACGCGCTGACTTTAAAGTTTTTTTCGTAAGATTATTCCAATATTTTTTTTTTATGTTTATCAACTTTTATAAAATAGAATTCCATCAAAATCCGTTTTTATCGGAAAGTCTGATTTTATTCTGTGATTGTCAAGCGTTTGTTGGAATCAAAATGGCGCCCACAATATATGGTCACGGAGGGTTAGTTCGTGTTTTAAAAGAAAGGCGACGTATCAACCTTATGCCTTTAGCATATAAGAATCCTACACTCTTGAAACACTTTGTTAATAAAGTATAATATACAATGACCTATTAAGAGTGTTTTGGTTGTATTTACTAACCTGTCTTAAAATTAAAGTACGTATAGAGAGCATGGTTAGACCCGCAGACCCTCCTCATGATACCCCTCATGTGCAGACAAGGGCCCACATTGTGAACACACCAATCAATTTTACTGCGTTTTATTTAATTTGAGCTTTGATCTTATATACAGTTCATCAATATTCCTTAATCCTATATTTACAATATGGGACAAATTAAAGGAGTTGTAATTATGTCTGCATATTTCATCCTAATATAGAATTCAAAGTCCTTTCTCCATGCCTTTTATTCATGGGTTAAACTTCAAGACTTAGACATTATGTATGACATTTTATCATTTTTAGATATGGTTTGTCTCAATTAAATAGTGTTAACATACTTTTTCCAAATAGATTTGAAACTATGATACAACGCTCTATGTATTTTTCTTCAAGGCCCTTGAAGATTGGTTGTTCCTTTGCTTTGAATTCCTTTGATAATTATTGGGACAACAACATTTATTTAAACATTTGTCTAGT